AATAAGTCAGTTTCACGCTAGTTCTTTTAAAGTAAATTTGTGCATAACATTTAGATATCAACTATTTGTATGTTTCACAGCATGCTTTCGATAAACATCGACTTCACATCACTGCGGTTGTTCTGGCTATTTCACACAATTAACAAGAAAATGATACCTCATTCTTTTGCATAATCATGCAATGAAAATAAAAATTACATAAACGGATGATCAAACTTAAATTTAAGTTGCAACTTTGTTAGTTTCGACTTAGTTGCTGGAATATGAATACGCGCCATTGACTCTAATTCATTCGCGTATGTACATATGTATGTATTACCTTTAGTCGAATATTCTTTACAAGCCTCTATATATATATGTACATGTTTTAACACAACAAAAGCTTCATATTTTCATTTCGCCCTCTTCTCATCTTAACAGAGTACTGCATCAGCCATCCCAGCACCCTTAACCACCGCTTACGAGGAACCTGTGCGCCGCCTGCATAAGGCAAACAAATTCTGTGCAAAAGAGATTTCTCTTCCATTGGCGGAGGACATGGATAACGAGCATATAGCCGGTGCCTATATACGTTGCATGGCCACCAATATGAGTTTATGGAACGACGCTGGAGGTTATAATGCCAAACGAGTAGCGAAATTTTTCATCAAACAACGCAATGAGAACGAAGTAATGACTGTAGTTGAGTACTGTAATCAACAATATCAGCAAACAGATGTGGATTTATGGGCTTTTCAAGCTTATCGTTGTGCGACAGCGGGACGTATGGGTACTTGGTTGGGAGAGTATATGCTGAGTGCGAAACTATAAAAAAAAAAATTTGAATTAAAACAAAAGACATATTTTAAATTTGCAAACTAAGTTTATTTTAAGCACATTGTATTACTATTTGTAGATGTAATTTAAATGATATCAGTTAATAAAGTTGGCATTTGATTTCGCCAAAGTATAAACAGATATTCAAAACTTTTGCTTTTCTTTAATTTCTACTACTCGTAGGTATATAAATGCATATGTACATACATACATACATACATATGTATGCATACGCATGCAGCTCAACCGAGATGATTTGTCGTTTTTGTGTCTTGTAACTTACGTCCAACATCCTCCTTGAACCATTGACCCACGCGACTATTCAACACACATTTGAATGCATTGAAACACCACTTAAGTGTCGGCTCATTTTGTGCATTTCGATTGCAGTCGCTCAATATTGGCACCAGTACTTCCGTATTCGCTTTATCGCGATAAAGCGCCGCTATGTGCTCTACATTGAAACCGGTGCGATCATTCCACAGCTTTAGCTCTGTCCAAATGCAATGTACATATCGATGCACTGGCTCTTCGTTGGGGTAATCAAAGTTGTCGAAGCGGCGCTGATAGCTAGCCGGCAAGCGTTCACGTTCGTAACAATGTTCACTGGCAGTCAAGAAATCATCCTCAGTTTTCTCCTCGAAGTCGGCGCTGATCTGCCCATACATTTTGGAAATTATAAGCAATATTTAATTAAGTTATTTA